CAGCTGGGTGACTTTGGGTCAATCACAAGCAGATGGTGAGTTCTAGTCCTGCCTTAGGGACTAAGCATGAAAGCCAGCTGGGTGACTTTGGATCAGTTACCAGGAGATGGAGAGTTCTAGTCCCACCATAGGTATGAAAGCCAGCTGGGTGACTTTGGGTCAATCACAAGCAGACGGTGAGTTCTAGTCCTGCCTTGGGGACTTAGGGATGAAAGCCAGCTGGAAGCTTACTTTATACATTTTATGGTTTATTACATCATTGTCTGACAACTTCTATATGTTCCACATGTTCTTATGACTTTCTCCTCACTATTTTTGTTTGAATACTGTATTCTAATAAATGCAATTTAAGATTTAAGTTTCTGCATGCTTTCTTATTAGTTTGGAAACACACACAAAAAAAGCTGAACAAATTTCTAGCCCATCCCTAATCTTGTTTTGCTTCTTCCTAAGTTAGGAGTGGGGTCCTTGGTGCTCTGAGCTTGGTGACTTTGGTAGCTTTCTTGCTATTTTAGTCGCTAAGTAAATTACAAAAGGAGGAAGGAAGGAAGGAAGGAAGGAAGGAAGGAAGGAAGGAAGGAAGGAGCTAATAAGTTACCTAGGAAGAAGGGAGCTACAATATTCTCCTTTATTGGTTCCTCCTAAATTTTAAGGTTTTGTAACTCTCCTTCCTTCCTTCTTTCCTTCTTTCCTTCTTTCCTTCCTTCCTTCCTTCCTTCCTTCCTTCCTTCCTTCCTTCCTTCCTTCCTTCTCACCTTTCCTTCTCGCCTTTCCTTTCCTTTTCTTTCCTATCCTTTCCTTTCTCCTTCCCTTCCCTTCCCTTTTTCCCTTCCCTGCCGGTCTGCCTTTCTAAACCTTCAGGGGTAGGAATGGATAATCCTTGTCCTAAATCATAATCACCTACCTGATAGCACACAAATTTTGTTGTGATCCTGCTGCAAAAATAAACATAGATGGTGAATCTGAACTGAAGAAACACAATGCTCTAAATGTTCTTACCGGTTCCAAGAAACAAAACATGATATCTTCCATCAGCCGCACTGACCCGATCAACGGCTATCTTTGTGTACTTGTAGTCCGTGCCTGTCCGAATAATTAATGGCCTCTTATGAATTGGATAGATGGAATTAAACATCAAAGGATGATTCCTGATGAAAGTAACCACATCATCTGGGAACTCCTTGGTTGTCCGAATGTTGGGCGTGAAGGCTCCTCCGGGACACTGTTGAAAAGCATGGATAATCATTGTTAGGATATGTGCAGAGCAACCCTTGTATAAAAAGGATATGCACACGGAAAATGGTTTATGAGAACAGTTATGAAGAAATATACAGCCACACAGAGTTGAACAAGTTGTATTAATGTTTACTTGAAGAAATAGCACAGTCCAATAAACAGTCCATGTCATACACATTTTTAACAGTCCGGAAATATCCAGTTATAAAGTCTTCTTACCGGTTCCATGTCTTTTACAGCAGACAAATATCAAACCATAATACAACAAATAACCTTCAATATCAACAGAATATCAAAATAAACAGGGTTAGTCAGTATCAGTCCATAGTCAGTCAGTATCAGTATCCAGAGAGATCATCAGTGAAAAAGAGAAAGAGAATTAAACCATGATCTATAGCTCCCTCTTATGGCAACTTGTAGCATAATTAACCAACCAGAACACAGCATAATACATTGCAGTATTTTTCCTTAAAGCTACAAACATATATATTTGTAGTTTATATATTGTCAACCCAGCTATGTTATTTACATATACATAACAATCATCAACTACCTGAAAGGTGTTTCAATTCACAGCCCTTTATAAGGTCTCCTGAACTGTACATTAGACCTTACTTAAAGGAAAGGTTCCCCTGGCACATATGTACTGGTCGTTTCTGTCTCTAGGGGGCTCATTTCGATTACAAAGCTGAAGAGCCAGCACTGTCCAAAGATGTCTCTGTGGTCATGTGGCTGGCAGGACTAAACCCTGAAGGCGCACGGAATGCTGTTCCCTTCTCACCAAAGTGGTCCCTATTTTTCTACTTGCATTTTTTACGTGCTTTCAAACTGCTAGGTTGGCAGAAGCTGGGACAAGTAACGGGAGCTCACTCCATTACGTGGCACTAGGGATTCGAACCGCTGAACTGCCGACCTTTCTGATTGACAAGCTCAGTGTCTTAGCCACTGAGCCACTGCATCCCTGAAGACCTTACTTAGAAGTTACAATAACTTTACTGTCACATTGAATATACCCTAATCGGCATAGATTAAAATGAAATTCGATTGCGTACAGTTCTCAAATGGTCACCACCTCCAATAGACACTACATAAGCAGGACAAAATAAATAAATACAAAATTATAGATATTCCCACATATATTATATGGTATGGGAGCGTTCCTTCATGTTATTTCTTGGAAGAGCTGATAACTGTTTGACTTATGCATACTTCATCCAAGCTTTCATTCCTTCGAAATCATGTGAAGGATATGCTTGAAGGACTCTACTAGTCAAACTGCCTCTCCTGCAGTATTAACAACACCAATTGAATTTATGAACTACCTCATTAGAATACATTTGTGGTTAGAGTGTATGCAGTTTTCGCCAACTTGATCCAACCAACGGATGTAGTTGTGTTTTTTGGAGGAAAATGTGCATTCGACTGCCTCATTGATTCCCTTGGATATGTTTGATGTGCAAAAGCATGACATTGATGAATCTGATAATGATTTATAGTTATCCCTATGAATATAACAGCACCCAGATTAGGGTCCTACAACTTTTAATTAGCTCCTCATGACAATGTTTAATTAGCTCCTCATGACAATGTCATCACCTACAGACTTATTACTAGCACCCTAACCAGGGGTGGGATTCAAAAATTTTAGCAACTGGTTCTCTGCATGGTTGCTGGGTGGGCATGGCCCACGGGCTCTAGAGGCCTTCCGGAGGCGGGAAACAGGCCCATTTTCACCCTTCATGAGCCTCCCCTGTCTTCACGTGCCCCCTGCATTTACCTGGGATCCAAAATGGACTGCATGAAGACTCCTGGGAGGGGTTAGGGTGGGAGGGGGCAGCCGGTCATCGGAACTACCGGTTCGCCAAACCAGACGTAAAATTAACATCCGGTTCGGTTGAACCGGTCCGAACCAGCTGAATCCCACTCCTGACCCTAACTTAAAAAAAGTTTGAATAATCATGCGAATACAAAGGTAGTCCTTGGCTTACAGCAATTCAATTAGTGACCACTTGAAGTTACAACGGCACTGAAAAAAGTGACTTATGACTGTTTTCAACATTTATAACCGTTGCAATTGGCTCATATTTATGACGGTTGCAGTGTCCCAAGGTCATGTGACCATCTTTTGCGACCTCCTGACCAGCAAAATCAATGGGGAAGCCAGTTTCACTGAACAACTGTGTTACTAACTTAACAACTGCAGTGGTTCACTTAACAACATTTTATGACCATTGCAAGAATGGTCATAAAATGGGGCAAAACTCACTTAACCACTGTCTCATTTAACAAGGGAAATTTTGGGCTCAATTATGGTGATACGTCGAGCACTATGTATGCATGGTATCATCATCATTATTTAATGACCCCCAAATCCCTTGCAAGGTGGAGTCTGGGCAACTGGATGGAGCTGAGTGTTTACTGGCCGGATGCCCTTCCTGTCACTCATGCAAAGCTTTGTTCGGCAGATTCTCAACATGCCCAGTGAAAGAAATATCTGCTTCTACCTAGGATCGAACTCACAGCCTCCTGATTGTGAGGTGAGAGCTCCAACTCCAGGCCAGCGCATCGCTCTTAACAGATTTCTTAACAGATAATCAAAGTTGGAAGGGACCTTGTAGATCATCTAGTCCAACCTTCTGCCCAAGCGGGAGACCCTACACCATTTCTGACAAATGTCAGTCCAATCTCTTCTTGAAAGTTTCAAGTGATTGAGCTCCCACAACTTCCGTTGGTTGATTGTTCTCAGAAAGCTTCTCCTTATTTCCAGGTTGAATTTCTCCTTGTTCAGTTTCCATCCATTATTCCTTGTCTGGCCTTCGGGTGTCTTGGAAAATAGCTTGACCCCCCTTGTCTCTATGGCAGCCCCTCAAATATTGGAAGGCTGCTATCCTGTCTCCCTTGATCCTTCTCTTCAGTAGACTAGCCAAGCCCAGTTCCTGCAACTGTTCATCATATGTTTTAGTCTCCAGTCCTCTAACTGTCCCACTCTATTGTATGCATGGTATACATTGGCAAAATACCAAGTCAAAAGTTAGCTGAACTAGGAAATAAAATCTTGATGGTTCAGCTAATTTTAAACCTTGGTCAGAGTTCCATTGTTCCCAAGTCTGCCCCAAGCTGGATCTTGGAATATCCCTATTTGAAATTTAACAATGAAATGGGACAATGTAGCTTTGATTGGAGATTGTGTCTAAAAAGAAATAAACCACGTTGTCAAACAAATGGAAAACCATCAGATTTGCTTCTCCTTAAAGGACAACACAACACATGTTGGTAGAGCACAGCCATCAATCTCTCTTAGAAGTTAATTGCTTTTCATAACAGCTTATCTGATTGACTTGTAAGGAGTGTCATGCTTTTATCCGACCCATCTCATAAATACCACGTTTTAATAGTTTCCTGCAGTTGCTGTATTAAGACAATAATGCTCAGACATTGTGTGTGTTCACGGAGGGAAAAGCTAGAAGTCCATTAAAGGCAATGTCAAAGACAAATCAGCTCGAGGCAGCTGAATGTTTGGGTCAAAGATTTGGCGGCTAACAATGGCTGCATCTGTGAACTTCCAAAACAAATAACCAAAGAACGAAAGAAAGATTATATCCTTCCATGAGACATCTTGTCTTTTCCTTCCCACCTTCTGAAAGGATCTGAACTTTCGATTCCTACATTTAAAGCCAGCATCTTAGCTGTTCTCTGGTTTGTCCTTGCCAGATGTCCCAAGGCTTGAACTGGAACAACAGAGCAAGCCAAATCAACTACTACCGATTTACGGTCTGTTTCTTCCACAAAAAATAGCCTCGGGCTTCATGCTTAATGAAACTGGAGACATGAGAATTGGTGCAGCACCAAGCCAATGAGGCTGATGCACCAGCTCAAGCAATTTCCCAGCTCTATTATACAGAAAACAGAATAACCGTGTTGGAAGGGATCTTGGAGGTCTTCTAGTCTAACCCCCTACTCAGTTAGGAAAACTTATACCATTTCAGGCAAATGGTTGCCCAATCTTCTCTTCTCATTTTCTCTTATCTCTTATCTCATCTTATTATCTTTTCTTTTATCTTCTCCTCTTTTCATCTTCTCTTCTCTTCCCTCTCTCTTCTCCTCTTTTCATCTCATCTCATCATCTTCTCTTCTCTCCTCTC